ATTATCTACATCTAGGGGACATTCCATTGCACCATCCTAAAATGGTTAGAAGTGGTTCTGAACTCGTTAAGGGTGCCATTTTGATGCTACAAAAATCGCCAAAAATGCATTTTTTTCACTTCGGTTGAACCCCAAAAATGCATACTAAACGCATTCTGATCCCGTTATTATCATTATCTACATCTAGGGGACATTCCATTGCACCATCCTAAAATGGTTAGAAGTGGTTCTGAACTCGTTAAGGGTGCCATTTTGATGCTACAAAAATCGCCAAAAATGCATTTTTTTCACTTCGGTTGAACCCCAAAAAAACATCCTAAACGTATTTAATCCCGTTATTATCATTATCTACATCTAGGGGACATTCCATTGCACCATCCTAAAATGGTTACAAGTGGTTCTGAACTCGTTAAGGGTGCCATTTTGATGCTACAAAAATCGCCAAAAATGCATTTTTTTCACTTCGGTTGAACCCCAAAAATGCATACTAAACGCATTCTGATCCCGTTATTATCATTATCTACATCTAGGGGACATTCCATTGCACCATCCTAAAATGGTTAGAAGTGGTTCTGAACTCGTTAAGGGTGCCATTTTGATGCTACAAAAATCGCCAAAAATGCATTTTTTTCACTTCGGTTGAACCCCAAAAAAACACCCTAAACGTATTCTAATCCCGTTATTATCATTATCTACATCTAGGGGACATTCCATTGCACCATCCTAAAATGGTTAGAAGTGGTTCTGAACTCGTTAAGGGTGCCATTTTGATGCTACAAAAATCGCCAAAAATGCATTTTTTTCACTTCGGTTGAACCCCAAAAAAACATCCTAAACGTATTCTAATCCCGTTATTATCATTATCTACATCTAGGGGACATTCCATTGCACCATCCTAAAATGGTTACAAGTGGTTCTGAACTCGTTAAGGGTGCCATTTTGATGCTACAAAAATCGCCAAAAATGCATTTTTTTCACTTCGGTTGAACCCCAAAAATGCATACTAAACGCATTCTGATCCCGTTATTATCATTATCTACATCTAGGGGACATTCCATTGCACCATCCTAAAATGGTTAGAAGTGGTTCTGAACTCGTTAAGGGTGCCATTTTGATGCTACAAAAATCGCCAAAAATGCATTTTTTTCACTTCGGTTGAACCCCAAAAAAACACCCTAAACGTATTCTAATCCCGTTATTATCATTATCTACATCTAGAGGACATTCCATTGCACCATCCTAAAATGGTTACAAGTGGTTCTGAACTCGTTAAGGGTGCCATTTTGATGCTACAAAAATCGCCAAAAATGCATTTTTTTCACTTCGGTTGAACCCCAAAAAAACATCCTAAACGTATTCTAATCCCGTTATTATCATTATCTACATCTAGGGGACATTCCATTGCACCATCCTAAAATGGTTACAAGTGGTTCTGAACTCGTTAAGGGTGCCATTTTGATGCTACAAAAATCGCCAAAAATGCATTTTTTTCACTTCGGTTGAACCCCAAAAATGCATACTAAACGCATTCTGATCCCGTTATTATCATTATCTACATCTAGGGGACATTCCATTGCACCATCCTAAAATGGTTAGAAGTGGTTCTGAACTCGTTAAGGGTGCCATTTTGATGCTACAAAAATCGCCAAAAATGCATTTTTTTCACTTCGGTTGAACCCCAAAAAAACACCCTAAACGTATTCTAATCCCGTTATTATCATTATCTACATCTAGGGGACATTCCATTGCACCATCCTAAAATGGTTACAAGTGGTTCTGAACTCGTTAAGGGTGCCATTTTGATGCTACAAAAATCGCCAAAAATGCATTTTTTTCACTTCGGTTGAACCCCAAAAAAACATCCTAAACGTATTCTAATCCCGTTATTATCATTATCTACATCTAGGGGACATTCCATTGCACCATCCTAAAATGGTTAGAAGTGGTTCTGAACTCGTTAAGGGTGCCATTTTGATGCTACAAAAATCGCCAAAAATGCATTTTTTTCACTTCGGTTGAACCCCAAAAATGCATACTAAACGCATTCTGATCCCGTTATTATCATTATCTACATCTAGGGGACATTCCATTGCACCATCCTAAAATGGTTACAAGTGGTTCTGAACTCGTTAAGGGTGCCATTTTGATGCTACAAAAATCGCCAAAAATGCATTTTTTTCACTTCGGTTGAACCCCAAAAAAACACCCTAAACGTATTCTAATCCCGTTATTATCATTATCTACATCTAGGGGACATTCCATTGCACCATCCTAAAATGGTTACAAGTGGTTCTGAACTCGTTAAGGGTGCCATTTTGATGCTACAAAAATCGCCAAAAATGCATTTTTTTCACTTCGGTTGAACCCCAAAAAAACATCCTAAACGTATTCTAATCCCGTTATTATCATTATCTACATCTAGGGGACATTCCATTGCACCATCCTAAAATGGTTACAAGTGGTTCTGAACTCGTTAAGGGTGCCATTTTGATGCTACAAAAATCGCCAAAAATGCATTTTTTTCACTTCGGTTGAACCCCAAAAATGCATACTAAACGCATTCTGATCCCGTTATTGTCATTCTCTACATCTAGGGGACATTCCATTGCACCATCCTAAAATGGTTACAAGTGGTTCTGAACTCGTTAAGGGTGCCATTTTAATGCTACAAAAATCACCAAAAATGCATTTTTTTCACTTCGGTTGAACCCCAAAAATGCATTCTAAACGTATTCTAATCCCGTTATTATCATTATCTACATCTAGGGAACATTCCATTGCACCATCCTAAAATGGTTAGAAGTGGTTCTGAACTCGTTAAGGGTGCCATTTTTATGCCACAAAAATCGCTAAAAATGCATTTTTTTTCACTTCGGTTGAACCCCAAAAATGCATTTTAAACGCATTCTGATCCCGTTATTGTCATCCTCTGCACCCACGGGACATTCCATTGCACCATCCTGGAATGGTTAGAAGTGGTTCTGAACTCGTTAAGGGTGCCATTTTGATGCTACAAAAATCGCCAAAAATGCATTTTTTCACTTCGGTTGAACCCCAAAAATGCATACTAAACGCATTCTGATCCCGTTATTGTCATTCTCTACATCTAGGGGACATTCCATTGCACCATCCTAAAATGGTTACAAGTGGTTCTGAACTCGTTAAGGGTGCCATTTTGATGCTACAAAAATCGCCAAAAATGCATTTTTTTCACTTCGGTTGAACCCCAAAAATGCATACTAAACGCATTCTGATCCCGTTATTTTCATTCTCTACATCTAGGGGACATTCCATTGCACCATCCTAAAATGGTTAGAAGTGGTTCTGAACTCGTTAAGGGTGCCATTTTGATGCTACAAAAATCGCCAAAAGTGCATTTTTTTCACTTCGGTTGAACCCCAAAAAAACACCCTAAACGTATTCTAATCCCGTTATTATCATTATCTACATCTAGGGGACATTCCATTGCACCATCCTAAAATGGTTAGAAGTAGTTCTGAACTCGTTAAGGGTGCCATTTTGATGCTACAAAAATCGCCAAAAATGCATTTTTTCACTTCGGTTGAACCCCAAAAATGCATACTAAACGCATTCTGATCCCGTTATTGTCATTCTCTACATCTAGGGGACATTCCATTGCACCATCCTAAAATGGTTAGAAGTGGTTCTGAACTCGTTAAGGGTGCCATTTTGATGCTACAAAAATCGCCAAAAATGCATTTTTTTTCACTTCGGTTGAACCCCAAAAATGCATACTAAACGCATTCTGATCCCGTTATTTTCATTCTCTACATCTAGGGGACATTCCATTGCACCATCCTAAAATGGTTAGAAGTGGTTCTGAACTCGTTAAGGGTGCCATTTTGATGCTACAAAAATCGCCAAAAGTGCATTTTTTTCACTTCGGTTGAACCCCAAAAAAACACCCTAAACGTATTCTAATCCCGTTATTATCATTATCTACATCTAGGGGACATTCCATTGCACCATCCTAAAATGGTTAGAAGTAGTTCTGAACTCGTTAAGGGTGCCATTTTGATGCTACAAAAATCGCCAAAAATGCATTTTTTTTCACTTCGGTTGAACCCCAAAAATGCATACTAAACGCATTCTGATCCCGTTATTGTCATTCTCTACATCTAGGGGACATTCCATTGCACAATCCTAAAATGGTTAGAAGTGGTTCTGAACTCGTTAAGGGTGCCATTTTGATGCTACAAAAATCGCCAAAAGTGCATTTTTTTCACTTCGGTTGAACCCCAAAAAAACACCCTAAACGTATTCTAATCCCGTTATTATCATTATCTACATCTAAGGGACATTCCATTGCACCATCCTAAAATGGTTAGAAGTGGTTCTGAACTCGTTAAGGGTGCCATTTTGATGCTACAAAAATCGCCAAAAATGCATTTTTTTCACTTCGGTTGAACCACAAAAAAACACCCTAAACGTATTCTAATCCCATTATTATCATTATCTACATCTAGGGAACATTCCATTGCACCATCCTAAAATGGTTAGAAAGTGGTTCTGAACTCGTTAAGGGTGCCATTTTGATGCTACAAAAATCGCCAAAAATGCATTTTTTTTCACTTCGGTTGAACCACAAAAAACACCCTAAACGTATTCTAATCCCGTTATAATCATTATCTACATCTAGGGGACATTCCATTGCACCATCCTAAAATGGTTAGAAGTGGTTCTGAACTCGTTAAGAGTGCCATTTTGATGCTACAAAAATCGCCAAAAATGCATTTTTTTCACTTCGGTTTGATGTGATATCAAAATTTATTTTTTGTTGTGTAATGACACAATTCTAGGGGTTGGCCCGTTTAAAAAAAATGACAAAAAAATGTCCCCCATATAAATGGGCCACTCTATTGCGCCACCGAAGCGAACATCGTAATTAAGCTCAGTTTCAAAATACAATTAGTCGCACAACAGCTCCAACTATCCCCTCAGAATCCAATTAACAAACGCTGTTTCCTCTCCGTTTTCAGCCATACGAGTGATGAATTGCACCGAATTAGTTTAACAAACCGACAAACTAGAACACACGCTTTTCTCTCGGAACAAGTGTACCTAGCAGTGAAATAGTCGGATCAAGAAAAGAATAGAAAAAAAAAACTTGAACTCGCTCATATCCCAGTGCACATTTGTGAATCCCGCGTGAAGAATTGCATCATCAACAGCAACAGTGACTCGGTACGACACGTCAGTGAGAGTATAATTGAAAATTTCCGCGTTGTATCCTCGTCGTCATCGTCGTCGTCGCCGTCGTCGGTAAAGTGGTGGAAAATCAGACTGAATCAAGATTCACAGCACGCCCGCCGCACTTGTGCAGGGGCATATCCCTCAGGGTATTCAGTGGACGAGTCATGTGAGCAGCATTGTGCAGTGCAGCACCGGGCATCTCATTAAACGGGGGGAGGTGCTGAGTAATTACAAAGGCATTGCCCCACGGAGCGCAGGAGAGAAAGAGCATTCGTATCCATAAATGAGCAGATTGTAATTACACGCTGGTGAAAATGTTGGATAAATTAACGTTTTATGTTGGAGTCTACCTACTACTGTTGCACAGCAAGATTAAAGGTAGGTTGAATCATTCCATAGAAGACCTGTTGTTATTGTATTAGCATAATATCCGTTATCGCTAGCAAGAAGGAGGCCTCAAATTGAATAACAATGTTGTTGTATGAGTTGAGATTAAATGGATCATGAGGGAACTGTATGTATATGTGTGAGTAGGTCTGAACGAAGGATCGCATGAACACTTTTATCTGTCTGCGAGCGGAAGTTATTGCAGGGAGCCGTGGAACAACTTTCTCAATCTAATTACATCTTGACACTTGAATATATGTTTATATACTTTGCATGGCGTTTATTGCTCCGTCTCTTCTGCTTGATTGGTTTCTCGTGGCGTGTGAGATTTGCGATTTTGATTTCAATATTATTTTTATCTTGGTGATACAAGGGTGCAATGATTATTAATGCTACCACACGCCGCACAGTGGGGTATTTATTAATTATGGCTGGCCAAAAAATTTAACCACTCTAACTTGTCACATAGGGTTAACTACCCCATTTCCGGCCTATTAAGCACAACCCGCACTTAGTCTTTCTTAATCTAGCGTAGTTTAGCACCAAACGGAATGTTATTATTACTGATGGCTTACAAATGTATTTACCTTTCCGTACGTACCGTAAGATTTGATAAAGAAAAACCAATCGTTGAGATATTTTAAAAAGTCTAACACTGCTTCTTGATGCCAAACTCGGCCTACGGATTCTAAACTCGGCCTAACGCATTGAAACGTCAATGAATTCACTTCGGCCTATCGGATGAAGATAAAAATTGATTCGGTCGGAGCGCTTTTTTTTTGTTTTTGGGAATAATGGGTTCTAACCTTCATGGCACGCGTTCTCATTGACTTTCTTCCGTAGCTTATTAACTAAAGTATCGTGCCAAATGAATAATTGACTTGTTAACTCTGAAATCATGGATTTATTTGAAGTTTTCTGCTCGATAGGCCCAAAATGGGCGATTGGGCCGAAGTAGCTCTCTACCCTACATTTTATTATTCAAGGATAATAAAAATATTTGGTCAAAAAAGGGCGGAGTCGTGTTTTGGCGGGGGGATAATCATGTTATAATGATGTTTTTTTTAAAGATTTGTAAGTCCTGCTATTTTCTTGGCCGCCGGCGTAAAAACTTATAAGAATGTAAAAAATTGAAGATTTTTTTGACGTTTTACAATCAGTCATTGTAAAGTAAGTTCAACTAAAATAGAACATGATATTTATGTTAAGATTTGAGATTTAAGGTGAAAGTTGATGGAATCCACAAATGGCCTATATTTTGTTTGTTTTGCCTTAACACTTAGAATGTTTGGCGGCACAGATCTTAGAAATTAAAAGGATTTTGTGTGCCGAATTAAAATCATTCTTTTGCTGCACTGAAGCATACATGTCATTTCAATTTCATGCACGAACACTTTGTAGTTTCTGAGATTCGAGTATTAATTTTCATGAGATGTCATGAGACATTGAGTATTAATTTTCATGAGATAAATTCATCTTCTGAAAACATTTGGCCAAATTCTTACTTCCTTAGTCTTGAAATCACACCATCTAGTGTTTCCTGCCCGGGCAATTTACCAGAATTATCATTTCCCGATTCCCAGAAAACTAGTTTGACTTCCCGAGAAGCAGTTTTTTTTTGTACGAAAACTATCATAAACATCATGACATCAACGCAAACCATTAACATTAGCGGGTAGGGGAAGCTTTCCCCTTCCCGATGATGTTGTTGGTTTGCGTGGGCGACCCTCGGTTGGCTAGAAAAAAGCATACAAAGGTTTGATTACAAAAAGCTTGTATGCCCTTTTCACATGTGGCTCTTGATATGTTATATTTAAAATGACCACACAACTTTTGGGGAACATTTATTGAAATTTCCGGAGATATAACATGAGGCATAACATCTCTGATCACGCCTTCCTTCGGAAAGGAAGTAAAGCCGTTGGTCCACGGTTCATGAGTTGATGAGTCGATAGGTAGAATCCAGGTGTAGGAGCTTGCCTCCCTGGTGTCGGTAGAATTGGTGCTCAGCACGGAAAACAAGATCGACGAAAAAAAAAATCAAGGGAAAAAACTAAAGGGTTGTGTCCTAGACACGACCGCAGCATGGCGTAGAACTACGGAAAATTGATGCATGCATTTTTGACTACTGCATTTTTGACTACTTTACTTTGCATTTTTGACTACTTTACGTTGTCTTAATCTTTTTAAGTATTTCATTGTTTCGGTTATGGTTTAATGTTGGTTCAAGTATTTTTCCTAAAATGTAATAAACTATGAAAATTCAAATATGGAATCCTAAACAAGCCTTTATATATTTTTGAGTAGCATCCCAGTCTAGTCCACAAAGCCACCATGCATGTTGTGGAATAAAACAATTGCCAAAAAATACATTAATTTTTTTTTTCAGTAGCTCCATCATTAGCTTTAAATTAGATTTCTGAAGCAGAGAAGAAAGTGAAGACGGTACTTTATCTTCTTCTTTCCTTTATTTAACGTCGGTCTCTGTTCCGCAATCTAGTGCCAATCACCGACGGACATCGATTGCCATCCATTGACGGCAATCGAATGTGCAGGAAGGCAGCTTCCACACCTGCGTAGGATATCGCACCCATTCAACACACATGGGCCGGGACCAACGGCTTTACTTCCCTTCCGAAGGAAGACGTGACCAGAGATTTTTATGCCTCAGAAAAATCCCACCGACCTCGGCTGGGATTGAACCCAGACCCATTGGGGTGTGAGAAAGCAGTCACGCTTACCACTACACCACCGGCGCCGGCTAAGACGGTACTTTAAATATTGAACAAAATGTTGGTTCATATGTCAACGAAGTAGGGGAGGAAGAGGTATAACGATCATACGGGGTTTTAGCACCTCTTTGTTCTCCAATTTGGAGGACAACCCTAACATAAAATTACATGCATCATCATTATGTAGCTTACAGCATGTTCGTAGAATGATGCTAAATAGAATACTGTGTATTTTCTCAAATCAAACGTCTGGTTTCCAATAATTACATTAATTGAAAATTAGGGAGATTAAATTATTGAAGGCATGAGGCAAATTGTGACCTCAAACGAATAAAACTTATCATGTGACACTTCAAAGTTCAATTGTAGTCATTTGAGGGGCCCTGTTCCACATTGGCCACACCTGGACATGTTTCGATACCCTTGAAAAAGTGGCCAGTTTCTGAATATGATCTCAAACCATTGAATCACATTAAAATTCAAGAACCAGTTCAATGGCAGTTATTCGGAATAGCCAGGATCCAGTCAATGTCCAGAAACACCATGGAAAGTCTTGGCTCTTAATCCATTATGCGATGCTTCAAATCACATGAGAATTCAACTACTTCCTCTATGCACTGTTTAAGAAAGTTGTGACTAGGAAAGTAAACAGAAAATTATGTTGCTGCGTGCGAAGAAAATTGTAAACAAACCGAAGCACACATGACAGCCAATGCAAGAACTAACTAGGTCCAACCATGATACAAATATACATTAGAAATTTTGCCAAATATTCAACCTTTTCAATAAAATAATGCAATAATAGTCTGCTAACATGAAGTTTACATCTTTAAGCAGTATTAAACTGCACAAAAAGTTTGAAAATGTAAGTAAACATTCCACTTGTGGACGTTCTAAAGTGAACCCTGTTGATGGGAAAATTAATTAAAAGTGAGCTATATTTGAAAACAAAATAAAATCAAAATAACATTAATCATTAAAACAATTTTTTTTCTTTATAGTAATAAGCTTTTAGAAGAAGTTTCTTAGACTTTCTTGGACTAAATTAGCGCTGGTAAAAATAAGTCCAACCAAAATTCATAGCTCCATAGGTTGTTACAAATTAGTTTGAATTTCTTCAGTGCCCCAACCAGTAGATGGTGAACCGAAGGGGTGTTAACATCTGTGCGGATTTGCTAGCGCCACGCCGTCCAAAGGTCAAATCAGAACGATGCACAGTGGTTGAAAAGTCCATTTTGACGCTCTTCATTAATAGCACCATGGAGAGCGGATTTAGAGCAATGACGTCTTGAACAAAGTTGATGAGTATGACATGCTTCATATTTTGAAGGCATGGGTTTTGTGATTAATCCCCCTAAAAGTGAAATGAAATATTTATTTTTTCACAATGTCGAGATAAATGGTTGACGTCTTTAGCAAAGTTGTAGCAAAAATGATTACAAACAACTTTGCTGAAAACATAAAAGTCCTAAATTTCACTCAAATCGAGATAGAGAGCGTTGTTTGAGGACGGACCCCCAAAAACACGTTTTTCATCAAAACACATATTTTCTTTAATTTTAGGTCCTCATTATGTTCAACAAAGTTGATTGGTATACTAAAATACACATCGTTCTAGAACATACTATGCCTGCATCATTTTAATAGGATGAGTTATTGATAAATTTTCTTCTATTTTCCTCATATTTTGGCCTTGCGTATCTTTCTTAGGTGCAGGAAGGTGCAGATGAAAACTAAATTAAAAGAGCTTTCAAATGGTGGTAAATTTGTCCGTCCACGACCGTCTGCTGGGGAGTTGTGATCAAAACAAGTATCTATATCTTTACTCTGTTTTATGGTATAACCAGTATAAAAAAGATAATCAACTTCAATATATCCACATATTTTTCTTGATTAAATTCTTTTAGCTCGATTGGTTTTGCATTTTTGTTGTCAATATTTTGTATTGTATTCAATTATCATCATTATTATCATAATCATAACCATTAATATAATCATTATCGTTTCCTTCAGCTTCTTCTGCTAGCAGCTGTTTAGCATCGCTCGACAATGACATCTCGTGCTTTTTAGGCCATCCACGAATGCTAGTAATCAATGGATCTGATAATACTAGGAGCCAGTTCAATAGATCACGATTTGTAAGCGATCTTGATTGCTTGCGGGTATTGAACTCTTGGTATCTGTTAAATGAAAGTTTTATTAATTTATTCGTTGTTATTTTGGTTAAATACATTTAACTTTTCCAATCCTTGTTCCTTT